AATCAGGCACAGAAAACCCCCCACTAAATAATAAAAATCAGATGATCGAAACAATAATTTTGTGCAGGAAGTAAACATTTAAAAAGCTTGTCTGCCTGCGAACCCCTGGAGATTCGATGTATTCTGGTCAGCTATCGCTATGTATCTCCCCATGTTCGTTCCCCACAACCCCGCGCCCATATATATTTCTATGTTACTCACACAGCGTCTACATCTCCACGCCGCCCCCGCCCAGTTGTTTCTACTTCTATATATCTGACACAGTGACAACATCTCCCTGGTTGCCTGGCCATCAGATTTAAATAAACAAGACATGCAAGCAAAAAAAAAAAAAAACACTAACAAAGCTTTCGATCAACGCTGTAACCAGTACAAATGTCTCAAACTAGAGCTTTCGTTCAGTGATGTATGTTCTAGACACATACTAATACAAATATCTTAAACTAGAGTTTTCGTTCTGTGCTGTATGTTCTAGACACATACTAATACAAATATCTCAAACTAGAGCTTTCGTTGTGTGCTGTATGTTCTAGACACATACTAATACAAATATCTCAAACTAGAGTTTTCGTTCTGTGCTGTATGTTCTAGACACATACTAATACAAATATCTCAAACTAGAGCTTTCGTTCTGTGCTGTATGTTCTAGACACATACTAATACAAATGTCTCAAACTAGAGCTTTCGTTCTGTGCTGTATGTTCTAGACACATACTAATAAAAATATCTCAAACTAGAGTTTTCGTTCTGTGCTGTATGTTCTAGACACATACGAGTACAAATGTCTTAAACTAGAGCTTTCGTTCTGTGCTGTATGTTCTAGACACATACGAGTACAAATGTCTTAAACTAGAGCTTTCGTTCTGTGCTGTATGTTCTATACACATACTAATACAAATATCTTAAACTAGAGTTTTCGTTCTGTGCTGTATATTCTAGACACATACTAATACAAATATCTCAAACTAGAGTTTTCGTTCTGTGCTGTATGTTCTAGACACATACCAGTACAAATGTCTCAAACTAGAGTTTTCGTTCTGTGCTGTATGTTCTAGACACATACTAATACAAATGTCTCAAACTAGAGCTTTCGTTCTGTGCTGTATGTTCTATACACATACTAATACAAATATCTCAAACTAGAGTTTTCGTTCTGTGCTGTATGTTCTATACACATACTAATACAAATATCTCAAACTAGAGTTTTCGTTCTGTGCTGTATGTTCTAGACACATACTAATACAAATATCTCAAACTAGAGTTTTCGTTCTGTGCTGTATGTTCTAGACACATACTAATACAAATATCTTAAACTAGAGTTTTCGTTCTGTGCTGTATGTTCTATACACATACTAATACAAATATCTCAAACTAGAGTTTTCGTTCTGTGCTGTATGTTCTATACACATACTAATACAAATATCTCAAACTAGAGTTTTCGTTCTGTGCTGTATGTTCTAGACACATACTAATACAAATATCTCAAACTAGAGCTTTCGTTCTGTGCTGTATGTTCTAGACACATACTAATACAAATATCTCAAACTAGAGTTTTCGTTCTGTGCTGTATGTTCTAGACACATACTAATACAAATATCTCAAACTAGAGTTTTCGTTCTGTGCTGTATGTTCTAGACACATACTAATACAAATATCTCAAACTAGAGTTTTCGTTCTGTGCTGTATGTTCTAGACACATACTAATACAAATATCTCAAACTAGAGTTTTCGTTCTGTGCTGTATGTTCTAGACACATACTAATACAAATATCTCAAACTAGAGCTTTCGTTCTGTGCTGTATGTTCTAGACACATACTAATACAAATATCTCAAACTAGAGTTTTCGTTCTGTGCTGTATGTTCTAGACACATACTAATACAAATATCTCAAACTAGAGTTTTCGTTCTGTGCTGTATGTTCTAGACACATACTAATACAAATATCTCAAACTAGAGTTTTCGTTCTGTGCTGTATGTTCTAGACACATACTAATACAAATATCTCAAACTAGAGTTTTCGTTCTGTGCTGTATGTTCTAGACACATACTAATACAAATATCTCAAACTAGAGCTTTCGTTCTGTGCTGTATGTTCTAGACACATACTAATACAAATATCTCAAACTAGAGCTTTCGTTCTGTGCTGTATGTTCTAGACACATACTAATACAAATATCTCAAACTAGAGTTTTCGTTCTGTGCTGTATGTTCTAGACACATACTAATACAAATATCTCAAACTAGAGTTTTCGTTCTGTGCTGTATGTTCTAGACACATACTAATACAAATATCTCAAACTAGAGTTTTCGTTCTGTGCGGTATGTTCTAGACACATACTAATACAAATATCTCAAACTAGAGTTTTCATTCTGTGCTGTATGTTCTAGACACATACTAATACAAATATCTCAAACTAGAGTTTTCGTTCTGTGCTGTATGTTCTAGACACATACTAATACAAATATCTCAAACTAGAGTTTTCGTTCTGTGCTGTATGTTCTAGACACATACTAATACAAATATCTCAAACTAGAGTTTTCGTTCTGTGCTGTATGTTCTAGACACATACTAATACAAATATCTCAAACTAGAGTTTTCGTTCTGTGCTGTATGTTCTAGACACATACTAATACAAATATCTCAAACTAGAGTTTTCGTTCTGTGCTGTATGTTCTAGACACATACTAATACAAATATCTCAAACTAGAGTTTTCGTTCTGTGCTGTATGTTCTAGACACATACTAATACAAATATCTCAAACTAGAGTTTTCGTTCTGTGCTGTATGTTCTAGACACATACTAATACAAATATCTCAAACTAGAGCTTTAGTTCTGTGCTGTATGTTCTAGACACATACTAATACAAATGTCTCAAACTAGAGCTTTAGTTCTGTGCTGTATGTTCTAGACACATACTAATACAAATGTCTCAAACTAGAGCTTTAGTTCTGTGCTGTATGTTCTAGACACATACTAATACAAATGTCTCAAACTAGAGTTTTCGTTCTGTGCTGTATGTTCTAGACACATACTAATACAAATGTCTCAAACTAGAGTTTTCGTTCTGTGCTGTATGTTCTAGACACATACTAATACAAATATCTCAAACTAGAGTTTTCGTTCTGTGCTGTATGTTCTAGACACATACTAATACAAATGTCTCAAACTAGAGTTTTCGTTCTGTGCTGTATGTTCTAGACACATACTAATACAAATGTCTCAAACTAGAGTTTTCGTTCTGTGCTGTATGTTCTAGACACATACCAAAAGAAACGACTAAGGCCAAAGCTTTTAATCAATGCTGCATATTATAGCCACATATCATTTGTAATATTCGACACACAGCATACACATACACACACACATACACATACACACAAGGCACACACACTCGTGAGCCGCGGTAGCGTGATGACTAGCCGCTCGACGTCTGGCTCAAAGGCCTTCGGTTCAAATCCGATTTCGTCTTGTGATACAAGGCCGCTAATTTGGTGGAGAGCGAGAGATAGAGAGAGAGAGAGAGAGAGAGAGTGGGAGAAAGAGTGAGAGAGTGGGAGAGAGATCGAGAGAGTGGGAGAGAGAGAGAGTGGGAGAGAGAGTGAGAGAGCAAGAGAGTGAGAGAGTGGGTGGGAGAGAGAGTGAGAAAGAGAGTGAGAGAGAGTGAGAGAGAGAGTGGGAGAGAGAGTAGGAGAGAGAGTGGGAGAGAGTAGGAGAGAGAGTGGGAGAGAGAGTGAGAGAGAGTGGGAGAGAGAGTGGGAGAGAGAGTGAGAGAGAGAGTGAGAGAGTGGCTGGGAGAGAGAGTGAGTGAAAGAGAGAGTGGGAGAGAGAGTGAGAGAGTGGGAGAGATAGAGAGAGATAGAGAGAGTGAGAGAGAGTGTGGGAGAGAGAGAGTGAAAGAGAGAGTGGGAGAGAGAGAGTGAGAGAGTGGGAGATAAAGAGAGATAGAGAGAGTGGGAGAGAGCTAGAGATGTAGATATATAAGGAGATAGAGAGAGTGGGAGAGAGAGTGATAAAGTTGGAGAGCGAGAGAGTGGGAGAGAGAGTGGAAGAGAGAGTGGGAGAGAGCTAGAGAGATAGATATATAACGAGACAGAAAGAGTGGGGAGATAAAGAGACAGTGGGAGAGAGCTAGAAATCGATATATAAGGAGAGAGAGTTGGAGAGAGTTTGAGAGATAGATAGTGGGAGAGAGCTAGATAGATATATAAGGAGAGAGAGTGGGAGAGAGAGAGTGGGAGAGAGAGTGGGAGAGAGAGTGGGAGAGAGCTAGATAGATAGATATATAAGGAGAGAGAGTGTATGGGAGAGAGAGTGGGAGAGAGCTAGAGAGATAGATATATGCGAGAGAGAGATAGAGAGAGAGTGGGAGAGAGCTAGGGAGATAGATATGTAAGGAGAGAGAGAGAGTGTGGGAGAAAGCTAGAGAGATAGATATATGAGGAGAGAGAGTGAGAGAGAGCTTGAGGTAGAGAGAGAGAGAGAGTGGGAGAGAGCTAGAGAGATAGATATATAAGGAGAGAGAGAGTGGGAGAGAGCTAGAGAGATAGATATATAAGGAGAAAGAGAGTAGGAGATAGAAATAGAGATAGATATATAAGGAGAAAGAGAATAGGAGATAGAAAGAGAGAGGGAGAGAGCTAGAGAGAAAGATATATACAGGGAGAGAGAGAGCGGGAGAGAGCTATATATATATATATATATATATATATATATATATATATATATATACATTTATATATATAGATATATATATAGATATATATATATATATATATATATATATAAGGAGAGAGAGAGTGGGAGAGAGCCAGAGAGAGATATATATTAAGGAGAGAGAGCAAGAGAGAGAGTGGGAGAAAGCTAGAGAAATAGATATTTAATGAGAGAGAAAGAGTGGAAGAGAGCTAGAGAGATAGATTTATAAGGAGAGAAAGAGAGTGGGAGAGAGCTAGAGAGATATATAAGGTGAGAGAGCGAGAGAGAGAGTGGAAGAGAGCTAGAGAGATAGAGAGAGAGTGAGAGAGAGCGAGAGATAAAGAGAGAGAGCGGGAGAGAGCTAGAGAGATAAATATATAGGGAGAGAGAGTGGGAGAGAGCTATATATATATATATATATATATATATATATATATATATATAGATATATATATATATATATATATATATATAAGAGGAGAGAGAGTGGGAGAGAGCTAGAGAGATATATATTAAGGAGAGAGAGATATATATAAAGAGAGAGAGAGTGGGAGAGAGCTAGAGAGATAGATTTATAAGGAGAGAGAGCGAGAGATAGAGAGAGAGTGGGAGAGAGCTAGAGATAGATATATAAGAAGAGAGAGAGAGAGTGGGAGAGAGCTAGAGAGATAGATATACAAGGAGAGAGAGAGTGGGAGAGAGCTAGAAAGACAGATATAAAAGAAGAGAGAGAGAGTGGGAGAGAACTAGAGAGACAGATATATAAGGAGAGAGAGAGTTGGAGGGAGCTAGAGAGAGATATATATAAGGAGAGAGCGAGAGATAGAGAGAGAGTGGGAGAGAGCTAGATATATAGATATATATATAAGGAGAGAGAGAGAGAGTGGAAGAGAGCTAGAGAGATAGATATATAAGGAGAGAGAGAGAGCGAGAGATAGAGAGAGAGTGGGAGAAAGCTAGAGAGATAGATATATAAGAAGAGAGAGAGTGGGAGAGAGCTAGAGAGATAGATATATAAGGAGAGAGCGAGAGTGGGAGAGAACTAGAGAGACAGATATATAAGGAGAGAGAGAAAGTGGGAGAGAGCTAGAGAGATATATAAATAAGGAGAGAGAGAGCGAGAGATAGAGAGATAGTGGGAGAGAGCTAGAGAGATAGATATATAAGGAGAGAGAGAGTGGGAGAGAGCTAGAGAGATAGATAAATAAGGAGAGAGAGAAAGAGTGGGAGAGAGCTAAAGAGATAGATATATTAAGAGAGAGAGAGATTGGGAGAGAGCTAGAGAGATATATATTAAGGAGAGAGATAGATATATAAGGAGAGAGAGAGTGGGAGAGTGCTAGGGAGATTGATATATAAGGAGAGAGAGAGCGAAATATAGAAAGAGAGCGTGGGAGAGAGCTAGATATATATATATATATATATATATATATATATATATATATATATATATATATATATATATATATATATATATAAGGAGAGAGAGAGTGGAAGAGAGCTAGAGAGATAGATGTATAAGGAGAGAGAGAGAGTGGGAGAGAGCTAGAGAGATAGATATATAAGGAGAGAGAGAGAGCGAGAGATAGAGAGAGAGTGGGAGAGAGCTAGAGGGATAGATATATAAAGAGAGAGAGAGAGAGAGAGAGAGAGAGAGAGAGAGAGAGAGAGAGAGAGAGAGAGAGAGAGAGAGAGAGAGTAGAATCACTGCCAACTGGCATGCTGTAAAAGACAACTATTTGAGGGTTGCTTAAAGTGTGTTTGGTTACTGACCTCCATTTGGATGCGCACCACACCGTGCCAGCAACTCTTTTAACAATGACTTTTCAATTCTACATGCAGATATCTCTCTCAAATTTGTCAAATTCTGATGCTGACACATTCTACCAATAAATCAGCACTAATATGTGTTACATATTGTCTTTAAATATACACACTGAACTAAATGTAGCCCTGAAAAATGTAACTGTGCTTATTCCACCTGCTGAAGACAGACACATACACATATGTCTCTGTACATTCTGTCTGCTGACTACACACACCTGTCTCTCTATATTCTACCTGCGAGCACATACCTGTCGTTGAAGATGACTGTCTCTTGCCCACAACCGACAACCCATAAGGGTGTAAAGGACAACGATGGCTGTGCCAGGCAGGACGTAAATACACACCAACATTGCCACGTCATAGATCTGACGCATCACGTGACTAGGCCAGATTTCTGTACAATGGACACTGTGAAGGCCAAACTCCTGCCTCACCACCTGGTGAACAGAAGAAACAAGTTAGTTTCGTATCTTTTACAGAAATTTGCAGAAACAACCCCAGTATTTTTGGCTGCTTGTGATTCGTCTACCCAATATTTAGGATCACTAGTTTACCATTGTTTCAGAATGGTCAGCCCTCAATGCAACTTTCGAAACGAGCGTAAAGCGCCGGCTGCCAAATCAACTAGGGCTGAAAGAGAACCCAGCAGCTCGGTGTAGTCTGGTAGTCTGGTAGTCTTAGTTTCAGCTTCATAGCAAACGGGTTGCCCCATCTTTGCTCCGCTCCTGTGCCAGCGAAAAACACTCAGAATGTCTATCACAGTCCCTAGTGGAAAGATTGACAGACTGCTGTCTCAGCATATCTAGCACACACTCGCATTAAAGCATATGGTAGCCATCCGAAGTGCTAACACAAACAGTCCAACATTAGAAATGCAGTTCATCATTGATGATAGCAGAACTTGTCGTCAACAGATCAGCAGTTGTCCGCGTGATCAATTTTAATACGGGTCCCGCAAGCATTGAACGATAGGCATCGCGCCATTTTCTGAATCTACAATTCACACCACCACGTTGGTCACAGTCGAAAAAAAAACATTCCAAATGCAATCCGCAGCTCACAGGGTCACGCCATGCATTCAACTCAGAAGCTGGGCGACAAAAATATATCCAGTCTACAAATGGAGCAAAAATGCATCGGCCACCGTCAGGCAGAAGCAAAAAATTTGCCGCTGTTCCGAACGGCGCCGCTGTATAGCGTCCATTTTAACCGGAAGTCCTCGGTGTAACGAAGCGCAGTGGCAACGCCCAAGCAGCAGACGCCGAAACTAGAAGATAGAAATTGAAGCAGCAACTTTCTTATTGCCAGCCCAATGATATATAAAAATATTACCCTAAAAGCATCGTCCGTTTTCTTCTTTTTCTTCTTTTTCTTTTCTCTACTCCTAGAATGACTCGTTCCGTCTGAGAAAGACGAGATCTCTGAAAAGGGGGGAGGAAGATTCGCTTCGTATATAGTACTTTTCAGTGTCTTTGATAATTCTGCAGTTTATCTTCTACGTGGTCTTCTAGCTAAGTCACTGCTGTATCTGTATAGTATCGGTCTCTGTGGCTCTCCTTAAGAATACATTAAAATTTGCTTTTTTGTGTGTGTTGTATTTGATGTTTACATGTAATAGGAACCCGGATAAGCACTAATTGTGTGTGCAATATTTGAGTGCATATTTGATTCGTGTATTAGGTCGCTCTAGAGATGAGATGAAGACCACGCTGAGATTAGTTCGTGCATGTATACCCCGAGTCAGTGGGTTTCCATTGGATGGTAAGCGGAGCAAATATAATGTGTCTAGAATAACAGAAATGAGGTATCCGAGGAAGGTGCTCCAAGTGACAAGAATGAATAAAGTTCGCAAGCTCCAAGTGACAAGAATGAATAAAGCTCGCAAACTTCAAGTGACAAGAATGGATAAAGTTCGCAAGCTCCAAGTGACAAGAATGGATAAAGTTCGCAAGCTCCAAGTGACAAGAATGGATACAATTCGCAAGCTCCAAGTGACAAGAATAGATAAAGTTCGCAAGCTCCAAGTGACAAGAATGGATACAATTCGCAAGCTCCAAGTGACACGAATGGATAAAGTTCGCAAGCTCCAAGTGACAAGAATGGATAAAGTTCGCAAGCTCCAAGTGACAAGAATGGATAAAGTTCGCAAGCTCTAAGTGACAAGAATGGATAAAGTTCGCAATCAGACAATAAGTCATGACCTTGAAACTCAGGCATTACAAGCTCGGGTGAATCTGTCACAGTTACAATGGTTTAGACATGTATGGGCAGGGCGGCGCCAGGCGTGTAGACTCCATGAGGACATCCACTGTCTCTTCCCTAGCATGCAGGCAATACTAGGGTGACCGTTAATTTCCTGCATCGAAAGACTATTTTATATGGATTGTGTACTAATTAATAAAAAAAAGAATCATCGCCGGAGCTACGGAGTGGGTGTGGTCTGTTCTTGATACCATCACTGTGTGGCAACGGAGAGAGTGGGAAGAGAAGACAAGGAAATGGAGAAAGAAGATGGCACAGAAATAGGAGAGCGGGATCCTGGAGAGTCAGGCGAAAAACGGAGCGCGTTTGTTAGTTGTTAGTGTGCTCGAATGCGAAAATGATGTAGGGGTTTAAGGTCCATTAGAGACAATGAGCTGTGCCTTATCTGTGTACGCTTCTTAATAATCAGAAAGACGAGAATGAAGAGAGAGAGAGAGAGAGAGAGAGAGAGAGAGAGAGAGAGAGAGAGAAGAGAAAGAGAGAGAGGAAGAAGGATAATAGCGCGGAATATTAGGATAATACATTTAAGAAAGGAAAGAGAAAAACAACAATGAAAACAACAATGACAGCAACACCAGTGACAACAACAACAACCACAGCAATAACAACCATAGTAAGAACAAACTGTGAACCAAGAACATACCTGGTTGACTAGAGCTACGGGCATGACTATCACTGCTGCGGACACCCACGCCATAAGGATGAGTCTCCGGACGCGGCTGACTGTGAACACCTGCCGATGCTTTAGCGGAAGCCTGATGGCGAAGTACCTGTCCACACTCATCAAAACGATGGTGAACACGTTGGCAACGATGGAGACTCCTTGAGGTAAGCAAATACAACAGGTAAATTGTCTGCACACAAAGAGCATGGCAAGTGGTGATTAGGATACATATACACGTCTAAAATGGACTGTCAACGTCCTTATTATCATCACTGCCAGAAGCAATAGCTTCATCTTTAGCACTATCATAACATATTTCTGCTCTTCTACAAATAGTGAGGTTTCGAGGTTTTGAAAAACGGATTAACATCAAGGAACACGGGTATAACTGATAAGTGCTCCGTTCCTCTTCTAACTCAAGTTTGAGTCCGAGAAAGCTCAGCACAGTGCACAGGCTCTGCAGCGCCGGCGAGGATCCTGAAATGCTTTGGGTAAATTTTCAAACTCCTTTAGGAGGACTCAAGTCTTGTTCTAGAACCCGAGTGATGTGTACATATCCACCCGTTTCATAGATCTGACCTTTTTGTATGCAGACTGTTGGTTCTTTGCTTCTCAGGCAGAGGCACTCTCATTTCTAAGGAAGCCCTTAGATAGTTGACTCTTACGACATGCTTGTTTGTGTGGCAGTGGATCTATCCCTGTTTTCCTCATTATGGGGCCTGCAGTGTTCTCTGCTAGGGGTTTGATTCAATTTTTCACATTGCTATATTGACGTACACACAGTTGCTAGAACACATCAGATGACGAACGTTCAGATATTGATCTTTATTCGTTGTTACCACAATCTCGCTGACTACACGCTCCTGGCATTCTCGTGGTCGCTGTGCATGGCTGATTCTTGATGAACTTGCCAACTATCTCCCCCGTTTATTCTTTTTGCTCATATCTTTCGGATCATTTATCTGTATCTTACTAACGTATTGTACCTGGTATTTGTACACGATGAAAATGGCAATCAGGAAACAATAATTTCTGCTCTCAAACAAGTACACGTGGTCATACGTTCTCCATTCTGATCAGCTGTTCTCTCGCACACGACCGCACACATCCAGGTCCGAACTTCAACTGCCTTCTTACCCTCTCTGGGTTCACCTCTTCCGTTCCAGTCTCACGCTTTCCTCGTATCCCTCATTCACTCACCACGGGATATTCGAGACCTGTTTATCTCGTTTTCCTCTTGTTTCACTGATCTTCTGATCGTGTCTCCAAATCGGGAACTCTCTGTGATTTCCCCGTGAATTCACAACATTACAGGACAATAGAGCTCAACGGGGAGTTTTTGTTATGTTTCTCAAGAACTTGGAGGCCGTGGAGGCCTTTCTAAGACCATGTTGCGAACACCGTCGACAGAGAGTGACTATGCTGCGAATACCGACGACAGACATATTGGCCATGCTACGAATCGAGGCATTAGAGAACATCACAAAGACTGGAAAGATAAAAAGTGAGAGGCAGAGGCAGACCATGATAGACGATGCTCGACAGACTGAAGCGATGACATAGTGGACTATCATAAGCAGGGATATTTACAATACCAAGGATTGAGATATCTGAAAACACACAAGCACCTATGTGGCATGATCAGGATATGATTCCGAAAGATTTTATTCTGAATCTGACTTAAACGGGCTACCGTAGTATTATATTTAGCATTATTATTGTAGAGTACAAGGGGTTGTCAGTTAAGATCAGGAAGTGCAACCATGAGGTGGTCATAACAAATGCAGGAGCCATTCTAATGACAACTGGGTCGATGACAGCGTCTGAGACGGAGAAAATTTACATACACTGATCATCACGTGCTATCTCCGTGCAAAACTGACATCGGCTAATGGAAAATGTATGCCTGAATGGCCAGGAGAAAGTACACTCAGAACAAATTATGACACCGAAAGTAAATTCAGAACAAATGAAAAGTCGAATCGATATAGAGGAAGGATATTTAGAGAAGCAAATTTGGGAGTCTAAAAGTCAGTCTACTTTCTGTTTGACTGATTAGACGATAGTACGAATGAACTAGAAGAAAATGATAGATACAGAAGTTTCGAAAATGCGTGCATAAAAATCAAATATTAATGGGACAATGTCTATATCTTGTGGAAACGAAAATTCCACATAAGAGTGAGAAGACTGAGCTCTGGGTACCGAAGCAGAGGCGAGCTAAGTTCTGCTGGTTCAAGAGTCCACTGCGGTTAGACAACCACAGAGTTAAGTCAGAGTTAAGTACTTATCTTTAAAATGTTGCTAAAGGCTCATGAGGTAGGCCACAACCATACATGTCAAGGGAATTAGAAACTGTCACATTTTTCATTTTGAGAAACTAATCTTATACTTGGGGACAACGCCCTCAATGTTGGAGTACATCTGCTACAGAGGCGAGGAACCAACAGGCTGCATACAAATAAGATAGATAAAAAACTGATGTGCACACAAAACTCAAGTTCTGAAATAAGACTAAAGTCCACAAGTGAACGAACAAATAGAAATTTTCGCTGGAGTTTACAGAATGTTAAGAAGAAGAAGAAGAAGAAGAAGAAGAAGAAGAAGAAGAAGAAGAAGAAGAAGAAGAAGAAGAAGAAGAAGAAGAAGAAGAAGAAGAAGAAGAAGAAGAAGAAGATGATGATAATGGTGATGGTGATGAGAATGCTGATATTATCATACACTTGAGCCGCCACTAACGACAAAAAAAAAAAAAAAAACAACAATAACAAATAGACACTTTCACCTTTAATAATTAGCGCAGTCGATAGAAGGCTCGCTTTCAAATCAAGCTGCGACTCGCTGCAGCCCACGGTTGATGTTTGAAACCGGGCAGTTCTCGGGGTTCACCCAGCCTCTAGGAAATGGGTACCAGAATTAACAGTCTGGGGTAAATTGAGGAAATTCGCTGTAGCTACGGAGTAGCCAGCGGACGGCGACACAGGCGGACAGTTTTTTTTCAGCTGTCCGTACTGGTGGCAAAGCACCTATGGTTTATAACTGTGTGAAATGACGCTGGTTCGCCCGACTTTACCATTTTTGTAACCCTGACCGTACTATTGGGAAGTCTCATTTATCCCGCTACAGAAACGGGATTAAATGGCTCGCAATTATCCGTACTACGTATTAATCATGACTAAGTCCTTGTTTAAGTTTTTCATCACATATCTACATTTTTTTAAAAATTACTTATCAATTAACATATTTTTAAGTGTTTAAATACGCACTCCCCCCTACCCCCCCTTTTTCCCCCCTCTTTTTATAAATGGTAAGTCTACCTTTTATGCTAATGTTTTATTCATTCCTAATCTGTGTGTGTGTTTACATACTGTACGGCCTACGTGATTTTATTTCTAATGCAGTATGGTGTATATTCATATACCCCGGGGATTTTTACGTATAATATCTTATTCAACATAATGCATCTAACATAAACATGACTGATATGACTCACCATAGGATAAGACTGACAGCAAATAGGGAAGACAAATGGTTCGATACTGACAAGACCAGAACACCTAACCACCAATGCCACCCCCTCCATCCCCCCTCCCTCCCCCACAGTGGTACTATGGTAAAGACTGGGGACATGATGCGCATTCCAAGGATCTGGTATTTACGTACACCGAAGCCTAGCTACCAACCTAAACCGACACAATCCGACCACACTATAACAAATGACGGATAGAATCATTGTGAGGCTTCACCTAACATTTCACACACATCTCCATGGCGTGATTAAAACGTTTTTATTGCATGAAGACAACTATAAGACCACTATGGTCACACGCGGAATATTTTCGCATTTCGGATCTATCAAAACTCAAAACTGTTTTCAGTACTTTAACTATAAATGGGAGTCCAAAGGACGTTATGTTGTGAAGCTCACTCTCCTATGATATACGCCTGGCCAAATCAGAAGGAGCTAAAAGCAAAGAGGAATCATCAGAAATGAAAGGGCAAAAAGAACAAAGTTGACAACAGGATAGGAAATGAGTGGTCTGACTTCGAGGAAAGAACTATTAGGCCCAGAGACGGCGCAAATACCAGAACGTTGACCACGAAAATGGCGCACATAAACAAGACCATAAATATAGCCGGGGACTGTTGGCAGCATTGGCTAGCTAGCAGCAGGTTGAACATTTTTTTTTAAAAGCAATTGGAATTGGAAAAAAAAAGTTGATTTAACGATATGGGTTGGGTAAAAACTGGGAATGAATAGAACTATTGACAATCTGGCTTGTGTGTTATCCGGGCCATATTTAGGCCTGATATTGAAGAATCTATTGTACATACATGAGGCGGACAAACTGGCAAAGTATTGAAGTAGTTTCTTGGCCGACCAGGATGAGAGATAATCAGTAAACCGACTGGGATGAGAGACAACCACACAACCGACCGGGTTGAGAGACAATCAGTAAACCGACTGGGATGAGAGACAATCAGTAAACCGACCGGCATGAGAGACCATCAGTAAACCCACTGGGATGAGAGGCAATCAGTAAACCGACTGGGATGAGAGGCAATCAGTAAACCGACTGGGATGAGAGGCAATCAGTAAACCGACTGGGATGAGAGACAATCAGTAAACCGACCGGCATGAGAGACAATCAGTAAACCCACTGGGATAAGAGGCAATCAGTAAACCGACTGGGATGAGAGATAATCAGTAAACCGACTGGGATAAGAGACAATCAGTAAACCGACCAGGATGAAAGACAATCAGTAAACCGACCAGGATGAGAGACAATCAGTAAGGAACGTGCCGTAGGATTACTCTCATTATTATGGCAGATGACTGAAACATTATTTGAATATATAAATCTTCTGGCTGACTAACATTGATACAAGAGGGTTCAATGTCATCAAACTAGGCAATCCAGAGACTGGGTTAGAAGCTGTCCTTTTACCATGGCCTTCTGGATCCCATGAACTCGCGGATTCTCATTATCTCATTCAACCTTCCCATGTTTCCATGAATTCTCTTTATCTTTTGCCACCTTTCCATATTCCCATGGATTCTCTTTATCTCAGGCAACCATCCTATGTTCGCAAGGATTCTCTTTAGCTCAGGCAACATTCCCATGTTCGCAAAGATTTCCTTTAGCTTAGTCAATGTTTAAAACACCTATATTTATGCTTGAACGCAAAATGTAATTGTGTGTGGCTTACTCTGTCCTGTTCGTACGGTTTACCATTAGGTATTTCTAGCTCAACATAGATATACTCTACATTGGTTGATAGTTGAGGTTAACAAGACTATAGCAGACAGGATCATATCAGGATTTTAGATGTTCTATTGGAATAATTGCTGTAAAACAAACTGCACTTCTATTATTCAATAACGGTGTAACACATGTGTGTATAGATTACGGTGTTCGGAAATGAACGATTGTTCTAAGGAAGTGACTTACCTTGAAGGTATCCTGTGGCCTTACATATTGTGGTCCCAAGAAGCCATAGATTGTACATATAGTAAACTGTCGTCATTGGTATACACATGAGTGCCACTGAAAGAGAGACAGAGACAATTTACTAAAAAAGGCAACCAGGGGATTTCAATAGAAGAATAAACAGATTACCAGATTACCAGATCAGGTGCCTTGCTGACTGGCGTGGGCGATCATGCCTCTTCACATTCTGCGATCTCCTGCACCATGTATTAGTTCGTGTGCCAACACACCTCCATGTCATGCAACAGTTTTACAAAGTGAAAGTTTGAAGATGACAAGTTCAAGACACATGCAAGACAGGGAGACAGCCAGTTGAAGACAGATGTCAACATTTTTTTTTAGATGTAAAGGGGAGTAGGACGGGTGGGGGGGGGAGGGGGGGGGGAGTGGGACATCAGCTGAAGACTCGTAGCACTAAATTAAAACAGAGGATGAATCAGCTGATGACGCATGACACCGCATTAAAATGTGGGGAAATAAAGACCCATTCCGGTATTTGTCGGGGGCACTAATATAACCAGACGGTTAAACGGGGCTTCTGGGACTTGCGCTCGGGTGATTCTCATCCGACTGGTGGCACTTTGTTTCACCGGGTGTTTATCGCTAGTTTTGCGGTACTGGTTTGGTTAAACTTCACTCACTCAGAGTTATAGAGGTAGGAACAGTTCGCAAGACGTGTTGGGAACGGGCCACTGTCTCAGTGAAAGTCTACTGATACTGAATTACCCGTTAGTTCGTAACAGCCTGATTGTGTTCCAAAATGACTTCTATATGGCTATATTGTCATCTGTGACTTTGTTGTTGCGAATTTCCTTGGTGGTTCCGCGATACCTATTCTTTTCCAGCTGCGGGTGATTTGGCAGCAGACCTCATCCCGTTGATTTCTATAGTGTATCAAGAGCCGACCGTCAGGGAGAACTTGCAAACTAGTGAAAGTGAAATTGTCTATTAAGACCAGCCAACAGAGGCTGCGGTTATTTCTGCAACCTTGGGTAAACGATTCACGACTAACTTACATGGCTTTACGGTTGAACGGGAAACTTCCACTAGCTGATTCTCATTACTGAGTTGCAAAACCTACAGATTACAGTCCTAAAGGGAGACCGTCTCGGCACAGACACACACTAGCCAGAATGCTACCGGGAAGGACTGGACCGAACTTCGAGGCCAGAATATTTGAGCTGCCTAAAAAAAGCGATTTGAACCTGTTACTGCCGTAATGACTGCCCATGAGAGTGCCTCGGCACGACCGGTGCCAGCTAACGGGCCATGCTGCTGACGTCACCAGGTTGGGCTAACGATGCGTTAATACAGCGTTTCTCAAACAAGAAACAAACTATTTTCCACAGTGTTGAGGGAAAGCAACTTAAATTTTAACTTTCAAATATCTACATTAATTCTTAAATAATTTCATAATTTTTAGCAGACCTTTCTTGATTATTGCCACGGCAACCCTGGCATACGCTCACGGCACTCCGGGGTGCCTCGGCACCCAGTTTGAGAACCGCTGCGTTAACGCATCGTTAGCCCCACCTGGTGACGTCAACAGCAGGCCCGTCAGCTGGAGCCGGGCGTGGCCGAGGACAGACGTGGCATGGGGCAAAGGGAAAACAACTAATATAAGATACACGTGAGAGTCACTGTCAGGGATCAGCAGAAGGGTCAAGGCATCCGTGGCCTAGACACTGTCAGGAAGAAGACCAATGAAAATACACGCCATCGCTGCTGGAACAACAACAAAATATTTTCTTGAATAAAAAGAAAAAACACAACTATTAAAGATGACAGACATAATGATAAGGAGGAGGGAAGGGGAAGAGGGGGTGACAATTATGTTGATTACCATCATCTCATTACAATTAAACTCGTCGTCATTGTCATCTTCTGTTTCTTGCTGTTGTTTTGTTGTTAATCTCTTGTGTTTTCTTATTCATGGTAGACATCCTTGCTATTGTGCGTAACACTCATAGGGGACTGAGTGGTCTCAAAACACAGTGTCTACCTCGAGTGCTGGATGTCCCGGAATCAGGTCCCGGTAAAAACTGGGATTTTTCACGCTGACTTCTATTCCCCTGGTCTCTGCGTAGTAAGATCATACGCCCGTGTGTATTGCTGTGCACAAATAATTAAAATCTCTCGGCTGTTGGAAATCAAAAAGAGTAGCCTAACCGCGCTGCCCGGGAAAAATTGAGAGTCAAAAATCTACCCAAAGTATTTCAGGATCCTCGAAGGTGCTACGGGGTTCGTACACTTTGCTGCGATTCGCCATATTCATTTTTGAGTTACAAATAGAACGGATAACGTTTGGGTTACTATCCCTGTGCTATGATGTTCATTTGTTGTGTAAACCAAACCAAAACCCTTCCTCATTCTCACCCTTTCGTCATATTCCTCTTCTTCCTCTTCTTCTTCTTCAGCTGTTTCTACTGCTACTTCCTAACCGGCTCCACTGTGTCTGTGCAAAATTCAATAGTGTGTATACAATTAAAATGCTTCTTTGTCAGCATCCAGCCAATATCTCATGTTGTAGATCATTGTATATATTGCCTCTCTCTCTCTCTCTCTCTCTCTCTCTCTCTCTCTCTCTCTCTCTCTCTCTTTCTCTCTCTCTCTCTTTCTCTCTCTCTCTCTCTCTCTCTCTCTCTCTATATATATATATATATATATATATATATATATATATATATATATTATATATATATATATATATCGTGGTCGATAGGCGACTCGCTTTCAAATCCAGCTGCAACTCGCTGCAGCCCACGGCCGGTGTTCGAAACCCGACGGTTCCCGGGGTTCACCCAAACTCTAGGAAATGGGTACCAGAGTTAACATTCTGGGGTAAATGGGGGAACGTCGTTGTAGCTACGGAGTTACGTGCGAACGGCGACACAGGCGGACAGCGTTTTATGAGCTGTCCGTTCTGGTGGCAGAGCACTTATGGTTTATAACCGTGTGCAGTGACGCTGGTTCACATCTCACTTTACCTTTACCTTTTACTATTAAGTACATTTCCGACTGGCGATAGCGATCATGCCTCTTAATAATCTGCGATCTTCAACAGTATGTATCAGTTGGTGTACTAACGCTCCTCCCCTCCCCACACCCACCCCCCCCCCCCTTGCCCGCCTCCCAACCTTTGCTAAGGCAGTTAATGATCCTCTAACGTTGTCTTCCTCACTCTGTTTCCACAGACAGTTTGAGCTGTCACAGTTTTTCAGTTTTTTTTTTTTTTTGCTTTCATAATATGACCTAAAATGCTCTCTCTCTCTCTCTCTCTCTCTCTCTCTCTCTCTCTCTCTCTCTCTCTCTCCCTTCTATCTTTCTCTCTCTCTTTCTTTCTCTCTCTCTTTCTCTTGCTCCCTCTCTCTCTCTCTCTCTCTCTCTCTCTCTCTCTCTCTCTCTCTCTCTGTTTCTCTCTCTCTGTGATGTTTTCAATAACTTGTCTTCCAGCCACCTTCTCTTTCAAAACCATTTGGGTTTCTCTTGATGGCTGTTCTACAAATTCTAACATCTCTGTCTGATAAATTGAATACTGATATTCAACTCCTTCGCTCCCCTCGAGCACAATCAACAACAGAATAATTAAAGTAACGTAATACGCTTTGAAAATACACAGAAAACATGTTTTATCAACATGTTATTTTTTTCTAGAACCTCTATTAACAAGGTAAAAACCGGGACAGAATATTAACTTAACCTAAACAGACATTAAAAGAAAAATCTATTTTACATTTTTTTTTTTTTGAAAACTAATTATGAAGAATTAAATACATGACGTAGACACTTTTTGTGTTCTTTGTTAGAATATGCCTCTAGAGGCAAAAGTTTTTTTTTCTCTTCTATCGTTTATACACCGAGGAACACCCTCTTTCACCTCCCTTATTTCTAACTCCCCCCTCCCGCCAGCAGTTTCTGTTTATATCTCCGGAGGTCTCAATGCTCCACTGTGAGAATATGTGGAACATTTCTCTTACAATAAAGTCTACATGGGTTTCTGAATGCCAAGGTTTCTCACATTAGTTTCACTGCCATTTGTACCTCTCTTGTCTTACAGTGATCAAAACTTCTAAAAAACATGTGGATCCACAATATTCTTTTTTGTCTTCTACTTCATCTTCTTCTTCTGTCTGTTGCCAATCCATGGAAAATAGGCTCTCAACCGACCCACACTACGTCGTCCTATCCAATGCTATTGTGCTTCTGGTTCATCTTCTTCCTCTGTCCGCTGTAAATCAGTAGAAAATAGACTCTCAACCGACCCACACTACGTCGTCCTATCCTATGCTATTGTGCTTAACACTTCCATGACCACCCTGTCCGTTGCTCCCCTGTTTTTTCGTGTTTCCGGGTGTTTCTTGATTTCTTCAATTCTACTTATTTCAATACAGGGCATTAAAAGGATCCTTTTTCACGACTTTAGGCATATAGGGCACATATGTCTAGACCTATATTTTATAGACTAATCTGCAGAAGATGAGTGATGTGGTCAGCATCACGCCGGCCGCCTTTACTTCCCGGGACTGCACCCGGTACCCACTCAAGACTGGGTCGACCCTGGAGATACAGGGCATTAAACCCCGATATCTGTTTCCATCAATAATTGTTTCCGAAGGCGTCGAGAGTTTCTGGATGCCTGACCAGGAGCATGTCTAGACGTGGGAATTGTCCTCGTTCTCAGAAAATGTTGGTCAAAGTTCCAACAGATATTCCATTCAATCTCATTTACAGACCCGGGCTAAAATGATGGTAATTTAGTTCCTTCAGGAGATTAAGATTTCTGAGAAGGACTTAATCTTAGAGCCCAGTCTGAGCTGAGTTAATGCATCGACTGCCATGTCAGACAGGATGGAACTTCAACGTGAAGTCAATGGAACTGAATTCAATTTTTCGCGCTTGACACTTCGAACAAAATCAAACTAATTCATAATTTAATCTGGAGTTGCAGGGGGAGCATGAGGTATCATTTTTGAAGGATAACTAATAAAGTTTAGCATACCGCCCTGGTATTTTATTTAAGGGTAAGATACAACACTCCCTCTCTCCCCCCCCCCCCA